GTCTCTCTCTGTCTCTGTCTCTCTCTCCCCTCTCTCTTATCTGTGTCTGTCTCTGGGTCTCTCTCTGTGTGTGTCTGTCTCTGTGTGTGTGTGTGTCTTTCTCTCTCTCATCTGTCTCATCTCTCTCTCTCTCTCTGTGTGTGTCTCTCTCTCTGTCTTTCTCTCTCTCTCATCTCTGGGTCGGTCTGTCTGTGTGTGTGTGTGTGTGTGTGTGTGTGTGTGTGTCTCTCTCTGTCTCTGTCTCTCTCTCCCCTCTCTCTTATCTGTGTCTGTCTCTGGGTCTCTCTCTGTGTGTGTCTGTCTCTGTGTGTGTGTGTGTCTTTCTCTCTCTCCTCTCTCTCCTCTCTGTCTGTCTGTCTCTCTTTCTCTCTCTCTCTGTCTCTCCTCTCTCTCTCCTCTCTGTGTCTGTTTCTGTGTCTGTCTCTCTCTGTGTCTTTCTCTCTCTCTGTCTCTCTCTCTCCTATCTCTCTGTCTCTCTCTTGCTCTCATGTCTGTCCAGGCGAGGAGTGACTGAGAGGGAGAGGGACGGGGCCAGTCAGTGGTGGATTCAGCCGACAGGGAGCCACAACAGGGGGACGAAAGAGCCACATGCAGCTCCGGAGCCGTGGGTTGCCGACAGTCGTTCTAGGGTCTCAGCAACTTTTTAATATCGTGATGACCAGACCTGGACATACTATTATACCTGCAGTGAGTAATCGCAGTCGTAAACCTGAGGGTCCAGCTGCATCTCGGAGGACATCAACGTATTCTGCATACACATTTCCGAGGAAACAGCTGAGTGGCATCATAGGTGCCCTAAAAGCATAAAACATCGTAAATCATTTAAAATAGGATACGCTCCTTTACAAAATCCTGAAGGTTTCCATACCCCAAACTTCCTAACTGAAAATAAAACACCACAATGGAAGGGTAAGTCCAACTCCAGAGGCTGACTGGGGGATGATGGGAACTGTAGTCCAATAGAGGAAAAAAGGGAAGCCTCTGCTCAAGACTGGCTGGATTGAACCATCATAGTTTGAAGCTTGTCGGCAAATAAAAGCCAGATGCCAAATTATTTTATTCTGGATATTCACTGCATCCCCCAGAGGTCATCCGTTTAGGGGGGAAAGGCAGAATTTTAAGAGATGGACCAATGGTGCTTTTTCAGGAGGCAACAGGACTCTCTGTTTTTTCCTTGAAGATGTTTCACTTCTCATCCAAGAAGCTTCTTTCGCTCCAACTGGATGGTGGGGAATGGAAGAATGGAAAGCTTCTTGGGTGAGAAGCGAAACGTCTTCAAAGAAAAATCAGAAAGTCCAGTTGCCTCTTAAAAAATGCACCTTTGGGACAACCAAGACCTGCATGACTGAGAATCGCCACAGAAACTTTGAGAGATGCAAATAAATTAATATGTGGAAGACCCAATTTCTCAGCCTGGAAACTGAAAGTCTTTCCTGAACTGAAGAGAGAGAGAGAAAAGAGAGTTTTAAGCACAAAAGAGAAGATGGAATATATCTCAGTGAAGGACTAGTGCAAAATATTCCCTCTCGGGACAGGTAAACCCTTGGGTTATGACAACAATTGGGCCAGAATTTATCTTGCTAAGCAAGGGGGTGAAGTGAATTACGCCCAATTGTATGACCTTTTCTGCCATCGTTAAGAGAATCACTGCAGTTGTTCAGTGAATCACATGGTCCTTAACTGAGCCCAGCTTGTTTCGCTGATGTTGCTTGATGTGGGTGGGTTTTTTTTGCCACAAAACAACCAAAACATGTCTCAAAACACAATTATGTAACTGGATAGTGCTGCATTTCTCATAAATGTGACCCAGTTACTAAAGGCCCAAAACTCAATTATGTGAACTGTCTGACTGTGTGTGTGTGTGTGTGTGTGTGTGTGTTTGTTTGTTTGTTAGTTGTAAATTTGATGACAGGTCGTAACTAACTTTTTTTGAGTCCATCATAACTTCAAACAGTTATTAGTCGTGAACTGAGGACTACCTGCACAAATATATCTATTATATACGTTTAAAAAACAATGCTTTATCTAGCCATCCTTGCCATGTCATCTAAACCACACAATTTACAATTGAGGAAAGAAAGACACAAGGGGAAAAAAATGAATGCATCATTTCCATTTTTCAGTAAGACAGCCCACATAATTTTTTTTTACATTTTTATATCCCCAGATTAATAAATTAATTAAGCCGGTTGATTGTCAATCAATTAGCAATCGAGCTAATTATGGAGTATGGGGGTCTCTTGTTTGGGCAGGGAGTTGGACTAGATGGCCTCCAAGGTCCCTTTCGCTTCTGTGGCTCCACAGCATAAGAGCGACGTACTTCGTATCCTGTAGACTGTTGCCGCTGTAGATGTACATGCGCTTCACAGTTGCACCGTGGGGGATCTGAAGGGAGGCTAAGCCGTGGGCGAAGTTTGGCTGTGGAAATCGAAATGAAAAGTTGCTGTGAACAACTTGTGAACGCACAACCTGCAGGTCTCCCTTTACACTCCCAAAGTCGCACCTTCATTAGTTTATTGTCATTGCACCTTGTACGACGACATTGAATGCCGTATTTAGTGTACATTATAACTCTAAAAATAAAAACACAAACACACATCCTTCACGTGCTATACAATTGAAATTGAGAACCCCTGATATTAAGATTGCACTACACCGTAGAATTCAATATAGTTACTTCCCTGGGATAGAAGCCGTTTTTCAGCCTATTTGCCCTTGTTTTTATTGCCCTGTACCGCCTGCCAGATGGTAATAGTTCAAAAAAAAGGAGGAAAAAAGAAGGGTGCCCAGGATGAGATGGATCTTTAAGAACGTTTAGAACTTTCTTAAGGCACCGGGAGCTATAAAGCTCTTCCAAAGAGGAGAGAGGGCAACCCATGATCCTTTGGGCAATGATGTTGACCCTCTGGAGTGCTGTGCAATTGGCAAACCATACACAGGCGCAGTAAGTTAAAATACTCTCTATGGTGCAGCGGTAGACGGTCACTAGCAGTGTTACATTCAGTTCAAGGGAAAAAATCCAATCAAGGAAAGGGAACACAGGGAAGAAATGACTATGTTATTTTCCTTTTACATTTTTTTATTTCTTTAATAAGACGGCTAACCTCATACTTTGGAGTTTCAGTCCATGAGTCCAACTGAAAGGAAAAGGACAGGCCCCTGAAGTTGAGATGGAAAAGTTGTTCGGCAGAGTTGTAAACTGGGGAAGAAACATACAGTGGCATGTAATAACAGTAAGGTAAAGGTAAAGATTCCCCTCACACATATGTGCTAGTCGTCCCCAACTCTAGGGGGCAGTGCTCATCTCCGTTTCAAAGCCGAAGCCAGCACTGTCTGAAGATGTCTCCATGGTCATGTGGCTGGCATGACTAAACACCGAAGGCGCACGGAACGCTGTTACCTTCCCACCAAAGGTGGTTCCTATTTTTCTACTAGCAATTTTACATGCTTTGGAACTGCTTGATTGGCAGAAGCTGGGACAAGTAACGGGAGCTCACTCCGTTACGTGGCGCTAGGGATTTGAACCGCCAACCTTTCTGATCGACAAGTTCAGCGTCTTAGCCACCGAGCCACTGTGTCCCTCGTAAAAACAGTAACTCTTTTTAAAACCCGAACTCGGCACTAATATTGATCCAGCCAAACATTGCATTCACAACACTCCCGTACAGGTAATCCTCCACTTACGACGGGTCACTTAGTGACTGCTCAAAGTTACAACGGATCCCAAAAAACTAACCTATGACCCGTATTTGAAGTTCCAGTATCTGCTCATGTCCCACCCCAGTTACGTCATCCCGTAGTCAAGTGACCACAGTATTTCCATAAACCAACATTTATTTCCCATTTCTGGTAAATGCCCCAGAGCAAAGTATAAGTATAATCTTTATTGTTATTGTTCTTAAATACAACGAAATTGGTTTCAAAGAATGTGTTTGCTGAATGATCACTGATAAAGAGATCATAAAATCAGGCTGGGTTACACAGCGATCCACTTTATGACTGTCACAACTCGCGACTGAAATTGAGGGCTTAATTATAGTCGTCCAGGACTAACTGTATAATAATCTAAACATTTTCCTTCTCAGCCTGTCCCAGGATTGAGCTCTTCATTATAACATGTCTCGGTTTTTTCCAATCATCTAGTAAACAGTAGGAGCCTTAAGATATTCTAGGAAAATTAAAAAAACAGAATAACAGAATTGCAAGGGACCCTGGAGATCTTCTAGTCCAGTGACGGCGAAATTTTTTGGCCAAAAGCGGAGGGAGCGCAGGGAGGTCATGGGTGAACGTGCCATACCCATGTTATGCACGTGATCCAAGCGTACATGCGTATGCAACCAGCGCTCCCTCCCTCACTTTTGGCACGCATATTTCACCCTCCCCAGGCTCCAGAGGCTTTATAGGAGCCTGGGAAGGGCAGAAACAGCCTCCCCCTCCCCCTCGGAGGCTTTAGGAGCTTCCCTGAAGCCTCCGGAGGGTGAAAAACTGCCCCTAGGGGCAAACTGGAAATCCAGGAACAGACTTCCGGTTTGCTTGTAGGCCCGTTTTTTGCCCTCCGGAGCCTTCAGGGAAGCCTCCTGAACGCTCCTGAGGGCAAAAAATGGCCCTATGGACAAAGTCACTTCTGTTTTGGCCGTAAGGCCAGTTTTTGCCCTCCGGAGGGCAAAAAATGGCTCTATGAGCAAACCAGAGGTCCGTTCTCGAACTTCCGGTTTACTGATAGGGCTGGTTTTCTTTTGCAAAAAACGACCTCAAAAGAAGGCCAAAGTCAGCTGGCCAACACGCTAGAGCTGACAGGCCAACACATTGCGTGCCCTAACAAATGGCTTCGTGTGCCACCTGTGGCACGCATGCCATAGGTTCGCCATCATGGTTCTAGTCCAACCCCTTGCTCAGGCAGAAAACCTTATACTCGTGATGGGGAACCTATGGCATGCAGAGCCCTTTCTGTGGGCAGGTGAGCTGTCGCCCCAGCTCAGCTCCACTGCGCATGCGCACAGGACTCCTGCTGGCCAGCTGATTTTGGGGTCTCTGTCACGTATGTGGGGCGGGGGCATGTGCAGGAGATGTGTGCACATATGCGGGGGTCGCAAACACATGCACAGGGGACAGGGGGTTGCAGGATTCCCCTCCCCCTGGTGGCCCGTGCTGGAGGCTGCAGGGAGGCCTATTAGGCCCAAAATTGTGTGTGGGGTGGTGGTGTTGCATGTGCATGCGTGGGGA